GTTAGAGTTTTTTTTTTTTTTTTTTTTTTTTTTTCATTCTCGTGATGACACTTGTCCTCACGAAGTGCAGCCTATGGCAGAAACTGCAAATGTTACTCATCTGATGCTTAGAGCACCAGTAGTTCCAGTGCGTCAACAGTTCGTTTCGAATGAAATTTATCCATGTTCGGGGGAAGTACTGGTGTTTTTTTCTCTGTTTTTTTTTTTTTTTTTTCTTTTTTTTTTTTTTTTCTTTTTTCATGCTCGTGCACGGTACGTGCCCCTGCACCGCATGGATCCCGTAAGCTCGTGCACCATACGTGCGCAATTGCCTGCACGGCATGCACTTGCATGTATGCATACAAGTGATGCATTTGAATTGAATTTTGAAGTTATTGTGGTGGTTGCGATGACCTGCAATTTGCTAGGGGAAAAAGGATATATTGGAGAAGCGGAAGTTGACAAAACCGACTGCCATTTGTGTGGTCCAGATTGATGTCATCAAGTTCGCTAAGTGCGCCCGCCGGGATATGTGTTAGAGTTGGAATAATGCAAACGAAATGACTGTGAACCCTGTGCATGGATGATACACAAATTGAAAAATGAAATAAGGGATGATTAGCCTCACTGGCAGCTGTTAGGGCAGCGGAACCCGCGCTTTGGCACCTAGAGTTTTCGGTATTGGGCTTTGGATTTTGGGTTTAGGGTTAGGCCCTTTAGGGTATAATGATAAAGCTCAGGGGTTATGGTTTAGGGTCTAGCATTTCGGTTTGCAGCTTATTCTGTACCACCAGTACCTATCGTGTTCTTAGGAGTTAACTCGGTGGATGAATGGGTGCACAGTGCAGGCCTGTATTCATTCGCGCCGGAGGGGGCCTAAGACCCCATGATGTACTGGTGGTTTAAATCTCTTTTCTTTCAATGGTTGTGCGGGATGGAGGAAGGACGAGGCTTGGGGGTAGGGAATCAGGGCAAAATATGCTCTGGATGGTGAAACAACATGTTGGAAGAAGGCAATGATGCAAGCATTAGGCAGGGGGAAGGCGGAGGAGGACGGAGCGTGATGACATATGGGGTGTGCGCTTTTGAGGGCACTTCACAGAAATGTTTCGCCTGAAACCTGTCAGTCAACATGTCGAGATGTGTACCCTTTGCTACCTACGGGCCTAGCTCATAGTTGCGTCGCACCAGTGCGCAGCGCGGTGCAGGGTGGGGCGCAATGGGCTGTGCGCTGGAATGGCAGCGCGCGCACTGTGCACAGTGCGCAGTGCGGTGCACACGCTGAGGGAGGTGCACCCTGTGCGCAATTAAAA